TATAGTGTTATAATATTAATTTATATTCATTAAAAAAAAAGAAAAGGAATAAAGTTTATATATGTACTTATTATTTCCTTAATATTATAAATCAGTGTAGCCTGTCCTCTTCAATGCAATTAATACAATACAATTAGTAAAATAAAATTATTATAACATATAATTTAAATTCAACTTAATCTTTACAAGAGTATAAAACAAGATAATAGGAGAAGGAATGTTTAAACAATATAAAATATTTCTCAATTTTATATAAAAAAGTTAAAGATTACATACTTCCCTATTTCAGACCTATATTATACATGATTATTTATAAATGACTCGGATAATTTACGTAAGTGATCGCGTTGCGCAAGACATTTTCCATGAAAAACCGTTCCAACTAAAAATACGTGTATGTAATTTTATTTTTGTCGTAATTCTTTTGGCCAGTAAATGTTGTTTACACCTAACACGAATTGTACATATAAGTGATAATTTTTAATTTTGTAAATTACATTTTGATAATTTATTAATTATTATTTTTCACGGTTAAATATTACGTATAGCATAAATCCATTAAAGTTTATTTCAAAATAAACTGTTATCAACTTTACAATAATTATGTTAAAATATCATTTGTATGCTTATTAATTACTTCAGTTTTGATTCTATTTAAAAATTAACTAAAAATAATATGCATAGACGAAAATCGCACAATTCTATATTGTTTTCAATAATTCATCTTATATTAAACTCAACACATAAAATCAATACATTACGCATCACAAGTTACTTATTCCAAGAACAAAGTACGCAGCAGCTTGTATTCTCGTAACCTTCATTAACGTACGCAGAAAACAATGAATAATTCTGTTACACGATAAACAAAAGAAATCTAACAGACTGAATCCATTCCTTTTTTGTACAAAGAGAATTAGCATCGGTGGCATTTTATTCATAATTTGTGAAAAAATTCTTTATCCCATTAAAATATTAATATATGTTATAATGTAAGACTATTTTTTATCCATATTAAAATCATCAAATCTATATTCAAAACGAATTTCTTTGTTTTGCTAAATAAAGAAGTTTACAAAAATTTGTTTTTAATCACAAGGGTTAATTATTTCTGGCTAATCTGAATTACTAAAAAGAGAGGGAACGATGGAGAGAGAGAGAGTGAGAGAGAGAAGGAGAAAGAAGATAACAAAAATATTGTTTTTCTCATTTATAAAAGTTGTCCAAGTTAAAATAAGAGAATACACTCATGTCCAGGTATAGATTTAGATTGGACGACGATAGAATTTAACAATATGCGGGAAAGATAATGTTGTAAAAGCAAAAAATATGCTTAATGAACTAATTCGTGAATACATTAGGACCATTCGAATGGCTGTATCGTATAAGAGTCCGTTAACCTTGCGAATGTCTCATCAGGTTATTTAAATAATCGAGCAAAGCAAACATCGGAGTCCAACTTCCATGTACTTCCTCCACAATTCATAGCGTATAGGCCAGGTGTCGCATTCTCCCGTGATCTCGACAGGAATAGAGATGCATCTCTTTCGACATCGTTCGCGCACACCGCCAGCTGCCTTCTTTTCTCATTGTGTTTTAATGGGCCACGTGGCAGAGAGACGTCCGAGTGTTAGTAAAACGGCACAGAGCCGCTTTTCCACGAACGTTTCGCAACGCTAGAAGGCCAAGCCCCCATTTAGAAGTTGTTCTTGGCCTCTCCAACTCCCTACCACTACTCTCACTGCCCCCACCCTCCACTGCACTCACCAACTGTCACTCAGTACCCCACCTCGCTGTACCTCCCGGACTACTGGTTTCCTTGTATCAAACATATTCAGAACTCCAAATATTTGTACCGCATCGTACCAGATAAATCTTGTCGCTTATCAAACATCAAATTTAAAGTACAAAAATTGCAGTTACGTTTATATGGATCCAAATAACATGATTTAACAGAATTTCAGTTGATATATATTTCATAATTTAAACCAAAACACTTCTTTGGATGCTTTTTAGTCTCCTTTTATTTATAAGTCTATAGAGTTGACGAAAGAAACTAGTTTCCCAGAATTTGAAAAATTAAATACAGCGAACATAATTCAGTAATGTTCTAAAAATAATTTTGTATAGTACTAAAGGTAATTTAAAGGTAATATTTTGAGTTATTTAAGCTACCTAATCATATTTTAATTAATTTTATTCTTCAACAGTATTTTCATTATTTTCCCGACAGAATATTATTAATTGTGTTAGTACTAATTGAAAATATCATTCTGTTGTATTTATACCATTAAAACTATCAGACGGGTCAAAAGTTCTTTTTGCAATTGTTAAAAAGATAACAGACGTTTCTCTAAGAAATTATTAAAGAAATTAATTTAGCAATACTGGCGCTGAATTGTAAATCAATTAAAGTCTCAATAGATACATTCTTGGAATTTCTATAGAGGAATTTTAAAAAATCAATTCAAATGCTCGGTACTTTTAGTAATAATGAATTATTAAACGATTAATACACAATTTCCTAATCGATACAAGTTCTTCAATGTTACACGAATCAATAGAATACTAAACAAAGTTTAGTGGGAAACCGAAGAATCAATATGTCTCTTGCAACGCAATGTTCCAGTGAATGGTGCACTTTCACCAGAATTATCGCGTCACGATTAACAAACCTTTGCAATATTCATCGTATGCAATAAAAGGAACGGCAGTCACTGCCAATTTCGAGAAACGATTTCGCATCGCGTCATCGATAAATTAGTATTATCCGGAACCCCGTAAACGTTTCCATCAAAACCTCTCATATGTCCCTGCAACCCCCTTAATTCTTGTTATCGATAGTCAGTATAACGATGTAAATATGGTATCAAGACCTGTGACGACAATCAAGATAACAGTTTCCAGGAACGCTTCAGTTCAAATACAAAATCAATTTAATGCACGTTTCTTTTAACAAAATGCAACAAAATATTCAATCACTGAATAAACTATTATTTAAACAGACAATTATTTTATTTATTTAGGGTTATGTAATTTATTTTTTACAAGATTAAATTTAGAAGAAAATTAACTATTCAACATTCTAAAATAACGCTACACTTAAACTGACCATAAATGAGATTAGAAATTTCTTTCCTTTAATTAAAACGGAATTTTGTTAAATCTCTAAAAGCGAATCAACACGGGGCAACTTAAGCTGTGACCGAGTAAAATAAACAGAATTAAATTCAACAACACTCTTGAGCTTTAACTTGCTTGTCGAAGTATATACATACATACTTACACATGCACGTAAGTATATAGAAGGAAATTTCTACGAATTTTAATCTTTTCACAAATTACCGTGCAACGTAACGCGCAAATTATCTTTTAATGACGCAAAAAGGTGAAGAACCATTCAGTCTTATTTCAATTTAACTCTGTATACTGGAAATATTGTTCAATCTCTTTTTGTTAATAAGTTACAGGAATCATTAAATATCATTTCGTAGAATTAAGCATACAATTGCTTCATTTCGTGACGCAAGCCGATATTTATATCAAGACCTTCCTGAAATAATACGCAACATGGAATTCGACGATATTCAAATATAATAACACCTGAAAAATAAAGTGTATCTTACTCATAATTCGAACACTCTGGAAAACAGATAAAAATATATCTCTCAACGTTTTCTCATCAACAGTATTATTCATATTTAAATTTACTATATTATTAAATATTCGTTACAATACGAAATGTATATTCTATTCATGAAGCTGCCCCTCATCATTATATTCACGAAATATATTCTTTCCTATTAATTTCGTAATAATTTCTGTTAAATACAATTTCTTTAATGAAATATATAACAGGATAAACGTAAAACATGCTCAATTCATCTTCAACGTGGGTACTTATTAATGAAATAAATATGTCCCTCATCTGTCATTTTTATTCCAAGACTTTACATGGAATTTCTATAGCCGGTCTTTCTTCTTTGCATGTTCATTAATCTTTTTTTTTATCACAGCACCCTGCCTTTATTCTTCTCCGGCCATCTGTTCTCTTCTGTCGTTGGAATGCTAAGGGGAGTGAAAACGACGAACGCAGAGAGAAAAAGAGGGGGAGGAGAGAGAGGGAGAGAGAGAGATCTTCAAGCAAAGAGGACTTCGCAGAATTGAATGTCGTAGTTTTATTTGAGGAAACAGAACGAGGCCCCGATGGAGGACCACAAAATTAGAAGAAACCCACGAGAATATTTTTCTATACGTATCGAACATTTATGAATCATTCAAAAATAATGTTACCACGTATGTTTTTTAGTTATTAATTTTAATTATAAAACACAAATGATAATCTTTGAAATATTTAATGATGTAATTACAAAAACTAATTACAAATCAAATAAAATCGTTTTTATAATCGAAAGTTAAATGTGTAAGGATCTTTGAAGATAAAAATGTTTGTGCGTATGTATATGTTGTTTTTGTAAGTAGAATAAATAAACGTGTTAGCCGGTATTGCAACTTTCATTAGTGCCGCAAGGGTCATTGGTGTTCGACAAAGTCGGAATAAATTGAAGAACTTGATTCAAATGAACTGTACTATTTATGAACTTTCTAATATTAAAAAATAATTTTCTATATAACTTTTTAATGTACTTGATATTTATTATAATATATTTGAATTAGATTATCCAGTGTTATTAATAATAAATAAACAATTTTTTTAAATCGTTACTTTTATTTAATATCTTTATAATCGCGAAGTATATATCACTTTATGAAATGCTTTTTAAAGGTTTATCTGGAGTATATCTACAAAAATATAAAAATCAATGTAATAATAAACAAAATTTGTTACTACACAAAATTAACGATGCATTGAACAAAGAAGGAATTCAGAAGAAACATGTTCAGGTAAAAGCAATATTTAACAAACAAAAGAAAACAACAAAAATTAGAAAATACAACTGAGAATTTCGGAATAAATGAAATAAAGGAAGTAATTATTTTTGATAAATATAAATAAGGAGAACGGACGATTCAGGGAGTGTATAAATTTGAAAAACCAACGGACGAACGAATGAGTCGTACGATGCAGGTTCGTAGTACAAGGTGGTTCGAAAGCATCATAAATCGAGAGAAGGGTTCGGGGTCTACCCTGCTTCGAGGGTCTGGCTAGAAATTCGTCTTCTTGGAAAACGACGAACTGGGCTGATGACCTGTACGCCAGCGAAATACAGTTCGTCGTAGCGAATGCTAATTTTACTGGTCAACTTCATCGATGCCTCCACGGTCTCTGGTCTACAGGTCTGTTCAGGAGTTGTGATCGGCTGATGAAATGGTTAGATAGCGAAACAGGTTTTGTATAGATGCTGCTATTGCTGTGTCAGCACATTTCGACGAAATGGTCAAGAAATCAGCATTTGTTTTTACAAAAGTCACTGCCAAATAAATTAAATTCACTAATTCAAATAAACATATGGTCTTCTTCCTATTTTTAATATTTAATAAATGATATTTACAGATTGCTCGCGTCTAACAATGATATTGTTGTTAGCTTTCTAAATGACTAATATATTTAATACACTCATGTACATTTATTAATCATTCAATGATAATAAAAGATAAATTCATAACTTTACATTTTACATTTATAATATATTTATGGTTATGTAATTACATCAATTTATAGGTTTTTAATTATTATATAGGACTTATATAAACTGAAAATTATTTGAATCTTTTAATGCGAGGAATAACGTTCCTAAATCAAACGTGTTTGTCAATAATTTATGATGGTGAACTTATTATTGGAAGAAAACGTGAATAATAATTTAAAATTATATTGTTATAAACATTATACATTTATAATAAGGCTATAAATGTATAATTAAGTAAATTTTTGTACACATTTTAAAGGAATTTGTTGCAATCAAAGAAAACCGAATTTTTTGAAGAAACGTAATTGAACAGTCACCGCTCCTGAATGACGCTGTAGTTGGCCTCGTTATCGGCAAGATTTCCAGCAAGTATAATGAGAAGAGGTTCGCCGAATGAGTGGTAACACGGATTTTATCTCTCATAGATAAGCGTGAATTTTATTTTACAAGGCTTCGGGGAAATGAACCTGCTTCCGTGAATGATTCTCTTTTGTCATGGCAAGTATTTAGAACGTCAACCTCTAGACATTGACGAAGTTAACATTGTTCTCGGGAACGTGACGAATTTAAAACAACAGATGTTATCTTCCACGTAATACGTTTTTCAGAAGTATTTTTAAATAACATTTTAACGTGTTCCTTTAACTTTTTTTGGCAATGTAAATTAATAAGAAAAATAACGTTATTCAATATTAAATGTTTTCAGTTTTACTACTATAAATTTACTAATTGTTTTAAATCCTTGCGAAATACCAAATGCAAATTGATTAAAGAAGTTATACATTTTGTTCACAGTGTTCTTGTACAATTATATATACTTTAAATTTTCTATTTTACTAATAAATAATTTACTTAACTTTTAAAGTATTTTTACTTTTATTTCATTTAAGTTAGTGCGTAAATATTTAATAAATAATTACACAATCAAATTTGAATAACAATTTCTTATAAATTTCAATAGTAGAATTACATGTACTTCTAATTACTGTACGTCTTAATGACAAAGAGCAAAAAAATATTTGTATAAACAACGTTTCATATTATGTGGTTCTTCAGCTAATAAATGTTTACAGCTTACATGATCATTGTAAATAATCATGTGAACTTTGAATAATCTTTTTAAATATAGACTAGCATTATAAACAGTGTCAAATTTGTATTATTTTTCTGCACGAGCATTTTCTCCGTCTATTGGTTAAAATCGTTTCTTGTTACGAAAGCAGGTCAGAAATGAAAACTAACACGAACTGACTCATGCCTATCGTGTATGCAAAAAGCCGGTCTTTTAAAGTTAACAATTACAACCTGAAATAAGTAAGACAGTTTCTAACTCTTGCATAGATACCGTTTAATAAACATACAGTTCACGTAACATTTGCCAATTGTTCGAGATATTCGTGAAGAATGGATAATGGATAATTTTTAAGTTGCATTAGCATTCGTGGTCGAATAGCCAAAAATATTACGAATATACTGTAAGATCTTCTGGAATACAAGAATTACGACAGGACGTCGAACTGTCACAAAAACGTTAACAATATATGAGCTATTTTCTTAAAAGCCAGCTTACCGAAATAGTTTTGGTAATTCGGTGACCACCGGGAAGAAATCCCCTATGAAACTTTCTCTGAAAAGGCACTTCCACTTTCACCTCACGTCTCGAAAATAGCTCGAAGCACTGCTAAAAATAACCTTTCCTCGAAGCACAATTGAAATTGCCAAATTTCCTGGCTAGCCTGGTAACGGAAGAAGATAGGTGACGAATAGTTTTAATTTTCCTCAGCGATTACACATTTATATTTAGATGTCTGGTTAAACGAAATATCGAAAGAATAGGAAAATAATCTTCCCGACTCGAGAGTCGGAACAGCACTGGCGCTGCTACCACTGAATGAATCTATAATTGCTTTTGTAGAGGGACAGAGTAGGGGCGAGCACGTGATCCGGGCCACAGTGGTGGTGGAAATCGTGGAAAACTCGTTGAGGGAGCATTAAGAACTCTATTCTAGCAATGGCTACGACGTTACCACGACGAAGAGAACGAACTACATTCGATAACCTTTGTTCAGTTGTTCGGAATACGGACTACCATTAATTAGATGTAACAGAAAATAAAACATGATACATCAAGTAATCGGTCACTTGGAACAGTTTGTTATTTATATTTTGAAAGTAAATTTATCTTACAACATTAAGTAAATTAACTTAATTTTATCGTTGATTTTGTCATATTTTAAGGAACAAAAATATTAACGAATACTTTAGGAAACAATGGAGTACGAAATAAAAAAAATGGTACTTTGTACTTCATTGAAAATCAACTGGCAGATTAATTCAGAAGGCAACCACTTAATGTATCGAATAAATTTAAATATTGGCATTTAAATATTTATCCAACAAGTACATATTTTATGATAATTTTATTCAAATACTTTTTTTATACTACTGCTTACGATTAATCTTTGTACTTGAAATCAAAGAAAAAATTACTGTTTCGAATAATATTTCGATCAATCAGTTTCGAATTATTATTCACATAGACAGAACTAAAATTCGTGTTGTGAACGTACTTGAGCGACATTTGGTAAAACTGCTCGACTTGCGAAAAGAAGTGTACATTTAAAGTATTTCATTTACATTTGTTTGAATAAATACGTACCGAAATACATTTGTAAAAAGAATGATGCGGATAACACCGAATAAAAATAACGAAGAAAGAATGTGAACTATAAATTGTATGTTTTTATATAATCCGCAACTGTAATCTTATTCTTTTATAAATTTAACGAAACCCCTAATAAAAGACAAAATTTTATGAATTCATTTTTGTAAGATATAAATTTGCATAAATATACATAACACAAAAATGACACAACATTGAGGTACCTTTCAAATGTAACCAGTAAAATGTTTGAAAAGGTTAACAATCCAAGAGACCAACATTTACATTTATCCCTACAACACTAATCTTTTGCCAAAATAAGAATCTTATCAATTACTCATGCAATTTAGTTTATTATACTATTATACAGCTAAATATATTTATATATTTTTGTATCATTAATTTAGAACAGAAGTGCCGAAGTTTATGTTTCTTTTGTAATTTTAATGACAATAAAAGTTATTAATGTGAAGCAATAGTTTAGCGGACACGTCTCAATTTGAAATACATAACGTAGTCAAGAACATGTTTAACACGTTCGCGACCAGCGTTTGTTTCACTAGCGATCTCCATAGTCACAATATTTTATTAAATGCAACAAATCGTCTTCATAAAATGAAAATAAAATTAAAAAAAAAATGTCTCATCAACTTGTTATACGTTACACTATGAGTCATTCTAGTTTCTAGATAAGAACACACCTGAAAGTAGTTTAACACTAAATTTACGGACGGAGTCAATCTTGACTCACACTGAATTCTATAAACGTTACTTGGTAAATGGGTCGATTTTGATTGACGTAATTATGCGGACATGTCTCGTAATAATATATTCTTAAACACCTAATTTCCTAGATCTAAACGAACATCAATCTTTCTAGGGACAGTAGAATATACTCTACCACAAATGTCCGTAAATCTAATGATAATTTCTTTTACACAAGATATTAACTGTTGAACGTAACAAATGTGTGACGTTGGTCGCGAAAATGTTAAACCCATCGCTGCGCATGTGCTCCGGCGCACATACCTCGTGGAAAAATGGATTCCTTTTAACTGGTTTACGTGCGATCTCGTCTGCGTTATCACGTCATCATTCTCGCTTACGAGTTCGTATTTCCGTGGGCTTCTCGTCGAAACGTCACGAATTCCAACGATTTGACGCCGTACACACTTACGATCTTGGCTGCCAATCGATTCCCGCTGCCAGACTGCTTACATCCCTTCTCCATCGCCCTCCTCTCAATGTTCTCGATATTGGCAAACATTTCGCGAACTGTTATTCAGCCAAAGGTTCATTTTAACGTAACAAAAACAGTTTTCGCAAAATCGTAACTCGCCCTGAATATAACACAAACAAAATGGAACCGCATGCCGCGTAACGTGTTAATTCGAAAGGATTCTTTAAACAAATGAAAATACTTTATGAAGTCGATACGTAACGCCGGGTCATTTTTGGGTTTCTATTCCACCTTAAAAATCTGCGTTTCAAACAATATCACGAGACAAGTTGCTTCACAATATACCCGTAAAACTAGTTTATCGTCAATCAACGCGAACTAGAAATAGTTCATTATTCCTAAGAAAATACGTATACGTGCATTGTCTTATTAATAAAACATGAAGCGTTTTCATTCTCGATGCTCTGACAAAATCTACGTTGTAATTTAGTTTTCGTGAAGCGGTATTAATTAAAACATATTAATACAGGGTGACTCATGTTTCGCTTCACTTGGAAGCAATATCGTCTGATACGTATTACGATAACGTGAAGATTCACCTTTGAATTTTTTAAATAGTACGATTGTTTTGTCGAGTCCGAGAATGTTTATAATGGCTCAGAGGAAGCAACCGATGGTCATATCTGACTATTGATGAAGAATTCTGGAAAGGGAAAAGATGCAGCAGGAGAGAAAAGGAAGAAAAGAAGGAGAGGCAGGCAGAGGTCTATAGAGAAAGGAAAAGAAGGGATGTAGAGGGGAGAGAATGAGAGATAGAGAGAGAGAAAGAGAGAGAGGGAGAGAAAGGGAGAGAGAGCCGCGTACCTAAGACACGTTATTCTTGTTCATTTCCAAGAATAAATCCGTAAGAATCCAGCTGGTCGCACAATACGAGTTTCTCTCAACAAAATACATGTACTCCCTCGGTCCCTCTCCCTTTCGAGCATTTTGCGAATTCTCCAGTCCCCTAAATCTGATACATTTGGCTTCCATTAATCTTCTTTGGACATATTTCATGGAACTATTGGAATCTTATCTGCAGCCTTTATCTTTTACAAATTTTGTGATTTATTGCGAAGATATTTTTATTGCTCTCTTTCGTGATACAGTTCCGACAAAAAAATATTTTGCTTTGCTAAAAAACGTTTTTTGTTCATTCTGAAAAATATACGGAATTTATAATAAATGTTTTATTTACATGCAAGAGTTGGAACGATGTACGTATTTACCTATCATTTATGTCTTTGCAATGCTAACGTTGAATATTTTTGCGAAATTAATGATCCGAGGGTATAATTAACATTGGAAGTACCGCATCCGTCGAAATGAGTTAGTTTCCTTATTTCGGAGTTATTGATATCTCGAAAATGCTAAATGTCCGAAATGATTATAGAAATAAGTAGTTTCATTTGAATACTATAATGAGCATATGAGGAAACCGAGAAAATCTTTTTGTTATGATTTTTATAAGGATTGCATATTAATCAGAAAAAACGCGCGGTAGTTGTAGCGTTAATAACTGACAGAGGCAGTAATCATCATTGCTATTGCGTTCCCAGAGCTTTCGTGGAAGAAGAATGCATTGTAGTCGATCGAATTATTACTCATGAATCCTACGAATCCTAAAGGATCATCAGGAAAACGTTTCCCTCTGATGGTGCATGGGGTGTGAAAGGGAACACCTGGTAGTGAGTCATGATTCTGAAATATGTATCCTAGCAGACCAAGTGGCATTTCTTTTACTCGGACAGTCGTGTTCACTGATTAAAGATCACCTTTTAAGAGCATTACAACATTATTAACAACCGTACAATCTTCGCGAGAAATCTTGAAACACGTCATTCATATTTTCCAAGTATATCATTTAAACTGATATTACCTTTCGAGAAATATCTCATATAATATACTGCAGAAGACATTCGCAGTAGTCGTATTATGTTTAACAGGAAGTTTCGTATGCAACATTTTTATAAATTTGTGAAATTTTTTTAAGGACTTCATCCTTTTTCACGTATCTATCGTTTATATGGTTTTGAAAGGTAAGGGAATGATATAAAAATTAATTTCGTTTTTAAATAAATACTTTTTTTTTTATTTATCGACAAAACTTTCTGTTCACCCAATATATAAATTTATGTAATAAAATATAAAAAATTTGTATAACATATAAATTCAATTATGAATGCAATATATAAGTTTAATCGAGGACATAAAGTTTACGAATATATCACATTTCCATATGAACAGGCAAATAATAGCAAAGAAAAATGTATAAAATACCACGCAGTTTTAGATTCGCAAATTCTTTCTATCGAATTGAAAATGATAACACGTGTAGTCTCATCAGTTTACAATGTTCGGAACGAGTCCTCCTATATGTAAGTATTTCCAGAAAGCTTTTATGTTTGCTGAACAATGACTGGAGGTCGATTCCGTTATTAGGGACACAATACGCTCCATTGTGCATTGACGGAACCCCTGGTGGGGAATATTTCGTGGTAACACGCCGGCTTTTACAGAAATCGCTCTTTTTGATGCCGAACGGTTCCGTCAGCTTCCTCGAAGGTGTCTATACGAAATTCAGATTCCAGAGTATTTCTTAGAATCACTTTTTATAGAATCGTTCATACTTGCTATCAGGGCAAATTTCAATGAAAATTCTGTTCCAGGAAATCAGTATTATTACCAGGAGTTAACTCTTTTGAAGTAAAGTAAGCTAAACAGTTTACGGATCATTAATCAAAGCTGAATAGAAGTTCACATACTCGGTTTAGCGTAGACTGCGAGTAAATGAAAACGTTTCAAATGCACTTCTAAACCGACTTACGTAGCGTATTTATTTTCACAGTGAATTCTGGACGACAATAAAAATTAATCACAGAAAACTTTTAACCAATACCGATGTGTAGTTTTTTAGAATAAAAGATGCTGATTTAAATTCGTGAATTTAAATTGATATAATAAATAATTAAACATTTTTTAGAGTTGAAAGGGTAGTAGTACCGGAAATGAAAAATGTACAGGTTGTAATGTTTCGATAGCTTTCGCAAATGAAAGATGAGCTATTGCTAATTCTTATGTCCATATTGTTGGAAATAACTTCGAAAGTTAATTCGAATTCAAAGGAAGGTCCAAAATATAAGGTAAACAACGGCTTGACGTAGGTAAAGTGTGTCCAAGTTAAATATGTTAAGAAGCTCGTGTGATTTCGTAATGAGCGAGATATGGGACCCGGAAATTTCTGAGAAAATTCAATGTATACATTGGTTTTCACGTGTTACGTTATTTTTGTTATGACTTTTCCTAATGTATAGGGTAATCACCGTTCAGTATAACGGTTATTTCGTAAATCGGTAACAATAGAGGATCTGTTATGTTCGAATATTTGAATTGCGTAGTACGTATCTGCTGAAAAAGGTAACCTACTTTTTGTTCCAATTCCACATAATAATTAACGATAATAGTTTGTAATAATTGGTTTTCGAGGAACGCGAATGACTTTATAATGCATCGCAACTGCACATAAATTAGAAAGCTTTCCGTCGAGGAGGAATTACAGGCTGGGAGCATAAAGGTTACTATATGGACGCGAGCGGGTCGTTCATCGGCGGATCGGGGACTATTTCAGAGAGGATTCCAGGAACGTTTCAAACAGAGAAATCGAGAGACACGCTATGCTCCCATTTCAGCTGATCGCATATATGGTCCTCATAGAGCCTGTTATCGTATCTGTTACTCTGTGGTAGAGTCAGGCATCTTATCACAAACAAACAAACTCCTTTATGACGATTATACCCGGTTCTCTCGAATCGACCTTTCCTCGAACTGGTTGCCCAAGGGCGCGCCTCTTGATTCAAATCGACGATTGTCCGAAATATTCCACGGCCATTTCGCTCTCTTTCCTCTTATTTCTCATTCTTTCTCTTGAAAGATATCTCAGATTTAATAGTATACAACAATCACCTTTTTAACTATCAAAAATACTAAAGATTACTTTCGCAGAACTTGTTTTTCAGTTAAAATTATCTGTTTTTGTTCAGTTGTGGAATATTTGGAAGCCTACGCCATCGCATCTGTTTTGACATTTTAGACTGATATTAGCTTCAATGTGGTTATAATCGAAAGTATCTTTTATAATGAAAAATATAAATAAAATATTTTTCAGTAATACTGGATTTTATTAGTTCTTTTTTAGTCCTATTCGGATAATAGAATATTGAATATCTTGCAGTGTATGACTTTAAGCGTATCATAGACTGCACAATATTAACGCATTTGACAGGTTACTCTGTCATAGTTAATAAAAACTGTGCACATAATATTCTACCTGTCTGGCAACTTAATTATATTAACTACTGCACAAGTGTATAAATTATTAATGAATGAATTACTATAAATATTGAATATTTAAACACATAAACATTTGTATAGATATTTCCTTGAACAACAGTTTCCAAATTAGAATAGATTCTTCATATTTAAAAAAATTTCATATTGAAGAAAGATATTGTGTTGTAAAATGTATAAAAAGTGGCAATTGAAAAATAAAAATAAGTGAGGTTTCTAGTGAAATCAAAGAAGAAGTCGTATAAGTTTACTTATGTCTAAATTTTGACTTTAGGTGAAATTCCTTGTATAATACAATTGAATTAATTATAAAGGATTACAAAAATAATGTTCATCCATCTAATTCAGACCTTAATTATTAAATACCTTCAGTTATATTTCAGAAATATTTTATGTTCTTCTAAATACATAAAAAAATGTATTTAAAAAATTGTTATTTTATAGAAATATATAACTATGTAGATGCATGTGAAATAACAGTTATGAACATTTATAAATAAAGTGATCATTTTGTTGTATATAAACTTTGCAATCAACGCAACAAACATTGTTAAGAATTCTAGAAATTAATATCTTTCATAACTCCAGTTATGGTTGTACATTTATAAAACATACACTAGTAAATTTTAAATATTTAGGTTATACAAACTCAATTGACATATCACTTTTACGAGAAAAAGGATTAAGCTGTTTATCAATTTCCACACTTGAAGCAGTATACTTATCAATTAAGATTAATACTGTCACACACCCTATCCGATAACCAACTTCATACGTAAGTAACATCAAGATAATGAACACTAAGAAATATTTTCAAAGATAAATATTATGTCACGTTGTTAACAGAAAGATGAACTTCCTTCTTGTATTTAATTTCTAAAATTTATCGAAAAATCAATTAAAAAACAACGCCTTTTCCCACTACAATGGCCAGTCTGAAATTGCACTTTTTCTATGTACACATATTATTAAATAAATAACGTAGACCGTAAAATGGTGCAGGACGAAATATAAAATATTAACAACATAAAAATAAACATTCAAAAGGATGAGGTGAACGTACCTTCTTGTATGTCCGTTCTGAAAGCGTCTCCTTCTTCGTGCACGCACAGTTACAGCTACAGAATATACACTTAAGACTTCAACAATTGCACCAATTTTTCTTCATCAATGAATTAATAAAATTTAAGGCTATCACGCATCGATTTCACTAATAATACATTTGTAAAGCTGTTTGTGCGTATATTTCAGTTCGAGAAATATTTTGTAGCGTCTCGAACAAGCTTGCTCCGCCATTGGCGTTGCTAGTTCGAGAAATTAATAATAGGGGGTGCTCGAATTACTGTATAGCAATTCTCCTCAACATTCAAATCGACGAAATGCGTCAGATGGAATAATTACAGATGTAAGGCAAATAATATATGGTAGTTAAAACTACATTAATGTATTGTATATAATTTATAACGTATCAATACTTGTTACTAATTACAAGTAATATGACTTACCAACTATTATCAAATATGATTTCGAGTAGAAATATTAATATTTACAATTTGTACATTCTCCATGAAATGAAATATTTTCACAAAATTTATTTACATAAATTTTCTTCATTTTGCTATAAAGAGAAACATATGCTTCATTTTTTACATTTATAATGAAGTTGAAAGTCATGTGCAGTAGGTCAAAGAATACTTTCGCGCTTAAGTTTTTTCGTGATAACAATGATATTAACAAAGAATTAGCATGTTAACATAAGCCGCATTTCTCAGTCCTTTACAAAAGCAACGTATATTTATAAAAGTATTACATCATTTTAAAAGTCTATTGATTTCAGTAAATATACTTTACAAATATCATCCGTTTCTCTCAATTCATGTAATTAACGCACATGTTTTTTTAGCTGTTTTTTTTCATATACACCAGCAAAGTATAATTTTGTATAATTTGACCAAGGTCCAAGATCTTTCGTAAATAGTTACGTAATATCAGTGGAATATTTTCTTTTTCGTTGATTTGGTTAAACAATTCTGTTACTATACTGATTAGCAATATGTAATTATGTAGGTATACAGTTCGTGGATCATGAACTTTTCATTTTCTTTCATTATTTTTAAATCTGTAAACTATTAACACTTTTAAACGAACATATTAATTTTACATAGAATAATTTGCCATAAAGATTAGTGGTGTAGATTGTATAGATTGTTTTAATGGATTGTTTCTGCTTGGTTATCACGAAAAAAATTAACATACAAATACCGTCTCAGTACACTGTAAATGAATTTTGATGCATTTAGGAATACTTGGTAATATAATTATTTTCATTTAACCATTTTGGTATTGAATATTTCTTTGATATAACGGCAAAAATGATTTATTTTTTTTCTTAAATTCAATACGGCAGTGATATTTCCAGGTATTCATAAATGCATTAAAATTTCGTGAACATGTTACAGTAGTCTGTCGTTGGCGCCATCTATCAGCCCATAAGATTCACTTCTACCACAACTGGAACTTTCGTCTCATAAGGTAAAATTAAAATTAGCAATTAATTTTTATGTAAACGTTAATCAGAAGTACTGCAATTATTATTATATTATTAATATAGATGTAAAGGTAATTATTTTACAAAATTAATACTCATAGTTTTCTATCACATGTTTAATACAAAGAAGAAAGTTATTATGAGGTAAAATATGTGAAGTACTTAAAATTTGTTATTTAAAAACGATATTTGTAATGGAGTTTGGTGGACGAAAACATAAAAAAAGAAAAGTCCACTATTTTCTTACTAACTACACTTGTGTTACTTGTGTTACCGTGTGATTAGTACCCGTATGCCCATTATTTTCTATGAGAATTTGTTTTCCGGTGTTCCTGGTGATCCTCCAGTTTTTACAAAAAAGTTCGTTGAACGTTTTTCTAAATTGTCTACTCATTGTGCAGTAAAGGATAAAGTTTATGGCAGAATTGACAAGGGTCAGCATATCAATAACGTCACCTGAAAATGAATAAATGATCATTAGTGTTGATTAAATATAATAACAGAGAATGAATAAACACAGGTATTATAACAATACGATAATTAATGACATATAATTAAAATAAAAATTTTTTTCGAATTCATTTTTCTATAATAAAAAATATAAGCATAAAGATTAGCTTTAAAAGTATTAATTCATTGATTTAACTCGAGTATCATCATATAATTTTTCAAATGTTATTGAATTGAATTCTACGCTAGCGGAATTTAACAGGTGATACGTTCGAGAGTAATAATAATATATCAAGCATGTCATACAATATTATTAATCATATTAATTTAATATTCATTGAAAAATGTTGGTTATAAATATTTTTATAAATAAGTGTATATGTAGTTAAATAGCTACGTATACGATTGATGAAGAAAAATTTATTCGAATTTATTAAAAAAACATATTTACTCCTTTGATTTGAAAATGCAGTAGGACAACTATCAATTAGTTTCAACTTCAAATTTATCTTTTTCCGATTACATTTGAATTTAATCGAGATAGCTATGTGCACATGGATTAAAAAAGCTTTTAGTTTTTATTTTTACGATGAAAAGAAATCAAATGACAACATTTCAGTCTATAATATATTTTTGGTCGATTTTTGTATATAGAATCACTCCTTTTATTATAGTTATAAAATACATACTGTGTAGTATGACGCATTGTAATTATGCACTGTATCTTGTTTGCCAGTGTACACAGTGCCATGTAAATACACACGTACAATGATTATCGCATTTACAAAAGATCTGTTTGTCCTAATTGCATGGTTTGTGAGTTAAATACAGATAAAACGGTGAATCAATATTCAAGGATGCTTAACCCACTCTGGACTAGGGTTTTTTAAACGAATTCTTTTTCGATTTATGTCGAAAATTTGGGGAAGATTAAATCGTCTTTTTCTTTAAAGAAGATTATATTATTTTACCAAAACTCATTTTGGCAGATTTTTATGTGTTCGAGATTTTCCAGGTTTTTATTAGTAGAAAGTAATACGTACAATATATTCCTCAAAATTGGTAGTTACATAATACCTATTGTTTCTAAATACAGTAATATTCCGTTCTCTGTCTTGTTTGAAGGTGTATAGAACAAATGAAACTCAAGAGTTTTATTGAAACCAGCAAATGAAGTAACCTACATTATTGTCACGTTCAATATAACGATCGAATTGTACTTCAAGAAAGTAATTCAACGAGTTAAGTGATGTTGTTTTATGATGATAAAAAACTTTACTTTGCTATACAGAATGCATTGTTATTTTTTTAAGACGAGCACAGGAAATATACATATAATTTTGAAGATCAAAATGGTTTCTAATCTAATGTTTTCAATAATGTATTTACTTATAAAATAAAGAAGCTTTAAGCACAGTATTAATAAATAAAATTATAAAAAGGTAACAAATCACATTATCAAAATTACATATTTCCATAATGAATCATGCAAATTATTTTCTATTTAAAAGTTGTTTTATTTTTGTAATTAATGAAATATCATGTCGAATTACAAACTTTACGTTTATTTTGAAGAAAAAATATTAAGCAAATAATACTTAAAAAAATATTAAATAAATAATATTTAAAAAAGTAGTAAATAATACTTAGAAAAACATTTAGTAAATAATAATTAAACTAATATTTAGTAAGTAACACTTAAAAAAGTAAGAAGAAATTGCATTTAGTTATGAAAACTTCGCAGACTGTATAATCCGGTTTTAATTTCATCTTTCGCGCTATAGTTGATTTAATTTGCACTTTTCAAACTTCCTGCGTATTTCTTCTTCCTATTCAGGCAAACTTGCAACCGATATAGAAAGTTACGACAAACGTAATTTGATGTTTCCTCATACTGACCTAACATCAGGTAACAAGTCCGAAAAAAGCCTGGTCCCAGCAGCACGCTACAAAGTCCGAGGATTCCCTGTGGTAATTCCGTCAGTAAGAACAGGAGCAAAACTGCAAGCAGCATCATCTTAGTTCTATCGGTCTGTCTCTCCTTATCCGCTCTTCTGGAACTCTTTTTCCGATCGAAATTGTCCTCGTGCATATTCGTTAACTTTCGCCTCCTTCGCTTCGCTTCGAGCAGAACTTGCAAAAGTTTCAAAATGACGACAGTTAGAACGACACAGGGGAAAAGTTTGATGACGATGCTGTAAATCCAGAAATTCAATGCTTTCAGTACATCGTGATTCTCTGCTGTTTCCGTAAATTGGACGAAGTAGAGGGTTGTGTTCACCGTTTCTACTACAGGTGAATCTGGAAGCAACGGATTTTCGTCGGCTAATTAATCAACGTGTTCGCGATGAAGATAAACTGTGCGGAAGAAATGTTGAAAGTAGGTACATAAGTAAAAAAGGCATTTCAGCTATTGATCTGAATAATCTTTACAATAGCACTAGTGATACAAAGTATTTGGCCATTCCATAAATAATGCGGCTTTTATTTCTACAAATAAATAAAACTTTTTTTTCAAGTCATTATAAGGTACAGATAGACAATTTACAGATAATGAAGGGAAATATGTTTTAGATTACAAATAGTTTGTTAATTTTTATTTTTAAAATTAAAAGAAATATATAAAATAGCATTTTGCAATAGCAAATTGACGTAAGGCGTACTAACAAATTTTATACTTTTTAATTTATTGCCTTGTATTCTAGGTGTTCTGTACGAAGCTTTTTTCGAAGCAATTTTATTCAAAGGTATTAAAAATGCATGTCTTCCCGCAGATCAATAGAAAATTCTTTACATTTTAAATAAAATGAAATAAAAGGGTAGAGAACGAAATGGACCGTTAAATTTTAAAAACTTGTAAAGTAAAGATTCTACAAGACTTGCATTTTAAAAGTTAATAAATTTTTAAGTTCAAGTTATAACGTGCGATGTTTTATTGGTTGAGATTCGAATGAAGTTTAACTGAGACGCTTCAGCGAATTAAACCATACTTGAAACAATATTTATAATATTATAAAGATGTTATATTATATGACTAATTGGAATGATTCAAGTTTAAAAGCAGCTTAAGTTCGTTAAGAGATAGAGTAGGCAATGTTAGAGATTTCATCGAATAATAAACTTTACAAGTTCATTAATTAAAACTTTTAACTGAACCACAAAAATAAAGATAATCTGGTTTAAGGAGAATAAATAATTTTTATAATAATAATTAGTTTTGCTAGCAGTGATCACCCACGTAATTGAACTACCCACGTGTTTATGACTTCCGACATGCACAAAAGAAAGGCTTTAGTTACTGTGATAACTACTGGATGTATTTGTATAAAATAATTATTTATAGTAGTAGTATAGATTATTTAAGTTACTCTGTCCATAGAACGATGCATACAATTGAAATATTATAATTCTTATTAACTAACTAATACATTATCCTTACAAAAATTGTAACAACAAAATTCTGTTTTTTGTTTCTCTATACATTAATTATAGTATTGAAGTGAAACTAATTATTTTCCAAATTATTTCAGAAATTTAATGCATTTAAGATATCAATAATTATGAAGATAAAACTGGAACTCGCCATATTGACGGATGCGGTTGTCCTTGTGTTAATGAATCTTAATGTTAGCATAATAAAAATTTTAAACTTTTACAAACTCTTCTCATAAACAGCTGAAAATACATTAAAGTCTTAAATACTAGAAAAGAGGAAAATCACATATAATAATAAAATGATTTATTTACAGCTTTCGACTTTAGATATGAAAGCTCCATTACAACATTCGACCGCAAAGGGTTAATTATTTCCTCCCACATGCATCATCTACTATTTATAAAATTTATAGATACTATTCTTCAAACAACTAATTTTCTTTCGAAAAATCTTTCCAGTTTCCAAAGGATATTAATTCAATAATAAAATACATAAAGAAATCGAATATAAGGATAGCATTGCCCACGTAAAATGAATACACAAAGGCATCGCATAAAGTATTTCTACGCGAAGGAATAAAATGAAAAGAAAGTTGTAATAATGACCAATTGTAAGCGACCTTTTCAAGTCACTTTTTAACATTCGTTTTCTTTGCGTTTCTTCGCGTTCTTTTTACGCAAAGCCAGCCGACGTAAGAAAATACATTTCCCTTTTGCGAAATTATCGTGGTTGTCATGCATACCTATTATTCAAACATTTCTTTCGCTCTTCCAGAACGTTACTCACTGATGAGAGATTTACTCTGGCTAACGCTCATACCGTTGGAATCCAGAACCTCCACTTTTTCTCTCACTTCTGTTGTAATGTATAAAGGTACACAAAGCACAGGGCATAAAGCGTACGTAATCAAAATCGCAAAAATAGTCCTCCTGTAGCTGCACCATTCCCTGTTTTTCTTTGCCACCGCTACGTACCTCCACACCGCCAGTATTAAAGTTAAACAAATCGAAATGGTGTGACAAACCTGCAACAGTTGATCCGTTTGTTTTTAAAAATAGTGTAAATATTTTTAGGATAGGCTTTTTTAGAAGCGATATTAATACATTTTTTAATCCTATGATCAGGATATAAGAAGCTAATCGATTTAGTGACCAAATTAATATATTTTCCGGAAATTTAAATAGCTTCAAACGCTTCGTGAAAAAACTAATTGCTGGGTGAAATTTCAAACCGAAAATTTAATTTCCTTTTTACTTATTCTTTTATTATCATTGTATTATTGTATATTGTAAAAATCTTGCTTTGTAAATGCCTTATGCTTCTTTCATATCTCTTCCTTTTCTGTACTAAAGGTCACCTGCTCGTTAAATGAATAAATAAATCAATAAGTCTTTTTGTGGAAAAATATAATTTAATCTCTTTTTACATTCACAATCGCACAATCAATGATGTGCGATATCCTCATAAATTAATTAAAAGAAGTTTAATTGTAAAATGTTACCGCAGAAATGATTTCTTTGAAAATGAAATAAGTCCATTTGTAGCTAAAATATCGTTTATTTTCTTTAACAATTTTATTAATTATCATCGCATAATAAAATTTAACCCTTTTCCCTACGATTTATTTTCCGATTGCGTTCAACAGAGATATTTTATTGTTTACAATTCATTAGAAAAATAGACAAATTCTATACTTGCTCTATGTCTACGTTTGCTCAGAAGCATTGCAATTAATAATGGGAAAATCACATTTATATTGGTTAAATTCTATTTTAAATATTCACCACGAATCTGACACGATATTGTATGGAAATGTGTTAACAAATTTATGATTTTATAAAATTTACAAGAATAGATCAACATTTGCCACTATTTTTGAGTTAATTCAAATGTAAACCCTTAAATATCTCAATGTATGCCAAAATGGACTTACACCACTTTCAAAACAAAACGGCTGAATTAATCGGTGTCCTATGAATTCCAATTTAAAGTTTTTGTTTATCCAGGTGGAACACGTTGCACCGTTACGTCGGGTGCACCAATAAATATGTAGTTCGCTATTTTTCTTTTCGATCGGTCGATAACAGAGTTTGACAAAGAAACACAGCCACGATTTTTACTGATCGGCCCATCTAATATTTTTTCGTTGCTAACAAAACACTTTTGATTCGTTGATATCGCGTTTACACGAAGAACACTGAAAACATCTTTCGTATATTTGTCTTTCTTCATTTTCACCCAGAGTGTTCTGACATGTGGTTTATTTATATTGAAAAAAAAATTGCGTAGATATTTTTGTTGAGATGTCCCTGAAGAAACGCAGGATCGAAAACAAAGGAACACGGTATCATCACCGCTTCTTCAAATACAATTTGGTCTTTAATTAAAGAAGAAGTCTGATACGCTATATAGGTTTGATTGCTTTCCAAACATGTAGGTCAGTCCTCATCAAATAAAATAAAGAAATCGTGATCGAAGGGAAATGCTATGATCTGCAAATAACGAAGTCCTCTTTTTTTATTAAGGAGACCAGGCTTTTTTATCGTTTCAAAGTCTGCGAAATGATTCTAAATTGTTATTGACAATTTATTAAGGGGACCAGGCTTTTTTATCGTTCCACAGTCTGCGAAATAATTTGAAATTGTTATTGAAAATTTGTTTCTGTTCTTTCATTGGATATCAATGAAATTTCATTACATTGAATTGAAATAAAATCTGTGTCAAAAATCGGTTCGGTTTGTAAAGAATATATGATTTTTCAAAGAATATTATCAATTTTTCATATAGCCTATGTACCGTCCGATTAACTATATAAACTGATCCGAGAAGTAACTTCCGTTGTCTCATAATTAAAAAATTTGATGAGTTCACTGTTTAATTTGTAGTAGATTAAATACTTCGAAGGAACGTCTTAGGAACTTCTGAATACGGTTTTAGTTTCAAACAGAACTTTTCTCAGCTCTTCCTTAATGACAATATTGTAAGGCGTCAAGGATGTTACCTATAACAAAATGTTATATGTTGAAAACACAATTATTAAAAATTAGAAATAATTTATATTACTTCTGTCCCTTGATTTCTATCGGAAATTTGGGGACAATACTGCGAATGAAAGAACAGTGTTGATTTGCAAAATTTCGTTTTGGTATTGTTCCTTCGCGAAATGAGCTGCGTATAAAGTCGATATAGTAATTTATTAATTCTGACCATTCAGAATTGTTTTAAAAAAAACTTGCCTTATAATGCCGTTTCTGATTCGTGATGAAGAATTCAAATAGAATCCAACAAACACAAAAATCATTCAGTTCTTTTGAGTTCTAATTAAATATTATTCTTGTGTTATTAATTCTCATACTTTAGAGTAAACATGATTATAGAATATGCTTGGAATTTTTCTCTTTTTTTTCAATAAATTGGAAAAATAGTTGTATCGGTTATAGTTAAAAAAAATCCTAGAACAAGGGATTAAAAACATATTGGCAGAAGCGTATCGAATCGAATAGAGCCTATTTTCACTGAATAAACGTCTTTTGGAATATCAAACAAAGTTTCCTTTTTTCTGCAAAGTCCATTTCATATGCACCAACCTAATACTTTTCTCAGTTATCGATGTGTCAGTTTATCTTGACAGTGCACTCCATCATCGTGTTCACTTTCTTCTTCTTCTTCTTTACTTTTGACCCGGTGTCGTTAATAAAATAAAGACAAGCGTACGAAGGGGAAACTTCTTCACCCTCTATAGACCGCATTTTTTTCGTGACCATAAAAAATGTATGTGGTACAGAATTAACAAATATCAACCTGTAAATACAAATTGACAATGTATTTAATAGCTTTAACCCCTTGCTCTATGATTTTTTTCCAAATTGAGTTTAACACAGATATTTTATTTTATTTTATTTATAAAAAGAAGAAAATTCTACAATTACTCTATGTCTACGTTTACACAGAAGACTAAGTAATATTTATATCTGTTAACTCTTTGTACTCGAATTAGTTTCAATGTTGTTGGATGTAAACTTGAATTTATTTTTAGGGATATAAATTAAAGTAACTTACGGCGGTAAAACTCAACGTTTTATATTTATTTTATTTATTATTACTATAATAAGATTTAATTTTTATAATCTTTTAAAGTGCGGTACCACAAATAAAATACAACAAATTTGTATTGTCATCTCTCAGCATGAGATACGAGTGCAAAGGGTTAAATTCTATATGAAATCTTCACCACGATTCTGATACAATATTGTAGAGCAAGGGGTTAATAATTTCACGTCTAAGTATATAAAAGTTTAGTTTAATTTTAACTCAATTAATCATTTAATTTTATTTGCCACTTTTCTATGGAAAATGAAATAAATCAACGTGATGTCAATACATTGGAAAGCGACTTCAAAGACACACAGGCCTATAGAGGGTTAACTCCACTTGGGGAACAAGTAAGGATCACCTGTTACCTGTGCAAAGTTCGAATGAAACAGCACGAAGATTGCCCATCCGTAGCTGAACTTGTCCTTCCTTGATCGACGATAGAGGTAAAGGTGGAACGCGTAAGGGATATAATCGATCATTACCAGCAGATCCGCCAGCGCCAATCCAGTTAATATAATATTCGTCGGCGATCGCATTTCCCGACGAGTCAGCACAAGGATATTGAGGATATTCGCGATCGAACCGAAGATGCAAACGAAGAGGGAGATCCATCCGTGTAATTGAAAGTAACGAGAATGAAAAGATTGCAGATCACAAACGTAGTGGTTCGACGAGACATTCAAATCCATGGCTCGTGCCTTCCTCTATATCGATGTAATATATCGATTTCCGTCGGTTCAATGTAATCTTCTACTGTACTCGAAATATTTTGATTTTCCTACACACGAATGATTGAATACCTCGAAATCAATTCATCAAATCGTTTAAAATTAATTCCCATGTAACTCCAGCTGACTAATTCATTGTTTTTACTTTCAAGTAGACAAGTTTTAAATGGTTTTTGTTTAAGTACCTCGAATTTTGCTTATCACGATACTACTTGAAAAAAAGGACTATTTCAAAAATCGTTTCGTTTATTATCATATTAGACTACTTTGAAATTTACAGAACGTTATTTAGAATGTTTTATCTCTTTACTAGGTCGATTATTCTCACTGTCGCAATTTTTTACATTATTATCTTGATTTTATCTTTGGTACTCTGGCTTGTATCCCGATCCTCGCAGAGCGCTTTCCCAGCGGACTTCGTTTTATCCTCTGCAACTTCTCAGACGATAATCCTTTATCTCCAACGATGCATCTCGAATTAGCACGTAGTTCGGATTCAGAAAGTTCGTCGGTCTCATTGGGACTGTTTTCCTTACGATTCTCTCGAGGGTAACAGAAGAATTCCTACGGTGTTCGGTGTTCTCAGTTCAGTCGACAAACAGGAATTTACATGTTACGATTGTTACGTACGCATGTATCGCGGATATATTTGATTTTTAATAGGAAGTACGAACTAAT